CTACAGTCTAACTAATTATTAGTTCACTAGTTTTATAGTGGATTCTCTAGGATACTCTTGTATACAAGATTATTGCAAGTATAGATACTTTCACTTCTTTCTTTCTAATACAGATGTCTTTTATTTTATTTTATTTTATTTATTGAGTTGGAGTCTCACTCTGTCACCCAGACTGGAGTGCAGTGGTCACTCCTGGCCACTGCAGCCTCGACCTGCTGGGCTCCAGCGATCCTTCCGCCTCCGCCTTCCAAGTAGCTGGAACTACAGGCGCACACTACTGCACCTGGCTCATTTTGATTTATTGTAGAGATAAGGTCTCGCCAAGTTGCCCAGGCAGGTCTCGAACCTGCGGGCTCAGGCAATCCACTCACCTCAGCCTCCCAAAGGCGCGGGATTACAGACTGAGCCACCGAGCCCGGTTTAGATGTCTTTTATTTTAATGTCTGAAAATATGATATTTTAATTACCTGAATCAATTGACTTTCAGGTATTAAACTAACTGTACATTCTGGGGATAAATCCCACTTGGTTATGGTGAATAATCCTTTTGATATACTGATGAATTTGTTTTGCTAATACAGTCATCCCCTGATATCTGTAGGGGATTGGTTCCAGGACCTTCTATGGATACCAAAATCTTTGGATGCTCAAGTCCCAAAAAGTCAGGTGTTTGTGGGTTCTGCATCTCATGAATACTGTAGTTTCAATCCAAGTTGGTTGAATCGTAGATCTGGAACCTGTGGATATGGGGGGGTTGACTGTGTTTTATTCTGGATCTTTGCTCCTAAATTCTTAAGAGATGTTGGTCTGAAGTTTTCTTGTAATGTCTGGCTTTAGAAGTGGGCATATACTGATCTTATAGAATGTATTTGGAAGTGTTTTCTTCTCTTCCATTTTTTTCAAGAGTTTATGAATTAGTATTCATTCTTCTTTAAATGTTTGGTAGGATTTACCAGTAAAACGATCTTGGGCCTGGGCTTTTCTTTGTGGGTAGTTTTAAAATTACCAATTCAGTTTCTTGTTACAGGTCTATTTGGATTGTCTATTTCCTTGAGTCAGTCTCAGTAGTTTGTGGCTTTCTAGCAATGTTCCCATTTCATGTAAGTTATCTAACTTGCTGACATATAACTGTTATGCCTAAGAGAATACAAGTATTCCATTATAATTCTTTTATTCCTGTAAGATAATGTACCGTTTTTCCTCCCTGATTTTAGCAATCCAGGCCTTCAGTCCTTTTTTCTTGGTCAATCTAGCCACAGGTTTATCAACTTTAATTTCACTGATTTTTCTCTATCATTTCTCCATTCTCTATCTCCTTAATTTCTGCTCTAATCCTTATTACAGCCTTCCTTCTCTTTGATTTGTAGAAGTTTGTTTGGTCTTGGCATGTCTCTCCCGGTATGGAAATTTTGCCTTCCTAGTGAGCTGGGACAAGAGGAGCTGGGGTCCTAGTATTCACAGCCTTCTACCTCTGGCATAAAGCCTCTATCCTATAAGCGGGGGCTGAGTGAAGGAAGGGAGCCCTCAACTTCTCAGCTGCACTCACTAAGAATTTAACCTCTTCAACTTGGATTTAAAGGAAATAAGAAATGCTGGCAGCCTATCTCCTCTGGTGAGATATGACAACCTATGATCAGGAGCTAAGAAGAGAGGTAGCCCTGTCTTCTTGACCATACCCACCCACAGTGAAGCCTCTGTCAAGCTTAGTCATGGCTCATTGCTACAAAATCTTACTGTTCTTACCAAGTTTTAGTAGATTTTTTTGAGTAAATGTTTTTTCATTATGGTATGCCCTTAGGACAATTTTCAGACACTTTAAATGTTTTTGTTTTTGTTTGAGTTGGAATCTCACTCTGTCACCCAGACTGGAGTGCAGTGGCACGTTGCTGGTCACCGCAGCCTTGACCTGGCGGGCTCCAGTGATCCTTCTGCCTCGGCCTGTCAAGGAGCTGGAACTACAGATGGATGCTACCATGCTCGGCTAAGTTTTGATTTTTTTTATTATAGAGACAAGGTCTTGCCAAGTTGCCTGGGCTGGTCTCAAACCCATAGGCTCAGGCAATCCATTCTCCTCGACTTTCCAAAGTGCTGGGATTACAGGCTAAAAAATATAATATATTTAGAAAGAGAAAAATAAATTAAGGTCATACCAATAGTTTCAATTCAAATTTAAGAGTACAAGGTTAATTATTTGATTTTTATGTTTATCTCCATTTAAAGAGTAGAACTTTTATCTTTCAGAATAATATGTAGTTCATGTGATACAGTTCCATTTCCTTATCAATGGTGACTAAAAATCTTTTGACTATACAAGCAAATGAGGAAATACTCTTATTTCCTAGAAGAATTCTGTTTCCAGGGAAATTTTCCAGTAAGGGTATAGATAATTGGAAGAACTTATTTGGACATTAGCATATACCACAGAGTCATTAGAACTTCTTAGATTCAGATTTATCTGAATTTTTTCCACATTACTTCAGATTATATAGGCTTAGAGGATAAGTTATTTTCTGTAAATACAGCTGGAATTAAATATAAAGCCTGTGTGACTCTAGAGTCTTCTTTCAATCATAAAAACAATCCCTATGTATTTACTGCTTAATTTTCTAAATCAGTCAGTAGAAGTGTCGATCTCATTTCTCCAATAACCTCAGGGATTTTTCCTATTCCTTGTCTTTTTGCTATCTTTTCACAGTCAACTCATCTGTAACATGGAAGGAAATAGGAACTCCTTGTAAGGTTTTATTTCTGATAAAGGTAACCATCAGAAATGTTAGGCAAAGCACCTAATGTGGGTATGCTTTATTCCAGAGCATTAGCCCTAAGCTAGCGGTAACTGTATACCAAACTGATATAACCATAGAGAGAAGGAATAGTTTAAGTTAGTTTAAACAATAGTATTTTGACTGCATAGTTGAATATACCTAAAACAAAAACTGTAAAGAAACTGCAAGCACATTCAGCACTATCATTATTTGTAGTAATTATTATTATTATTATTTTTACTAGGAGTCTTACTCTGTCACCTAGTCTGGAGGGCAGTGGCATGCTCATAGCCACCACAGCCTCGACCTCCTGGACTCAGGCAATATTTCCACTTCAGCCTTCCAAGTAGCTGGAACTACAGACATGCGCCACCAGGCCTGGCTAATTTTTTGATTTATTGTAGAGATGAGGTTTTGTCAAGTTGCCCAGTCTGGTCTCGAAACCCTGGGCTCAGGCAATCCTCTCACCTTGGCCTCCCACATTGCTGGCATTACAGGTGTAAGCCACCACATCCAGCCTATTTGTAGTAATATTACTATATTATTTTCAAATGTATACATATATACATATGTTATATGTTTGGATAAAGCAGATAGTAATTATATTAATGTACTTAGGAACAAAATATTGAGTATAAGACAAAAATGGGAGATAAACATAAAAATCAAATAATTAACCGTGTACTCTTAAATTTGAATTGAAACTATTGGTATGACCTTAATTTATTTTTCTCTTTCTAAATATATGTACTTTCTAGATGTGTCCACTGGAAAGGTCTAGAAGCAATGAAACCATCACCCAGAATTGTGGTCTCTAAACACAAGGTGGGACAGGAAGTATCCAAGATAGATATAGAACCCTGTCAAAGCAAGCTGTCAAGGGCTATGGGGACAATCAGAAGGACTCAGGAATAACTTGAAGGCGTTTCCAGTGACCAAAGATGGAACAGTTTGAAAATTAATAACCAAACAGTTGTCTAAGCAGCAGTTTTAAAAACATAGATGGCATTAAAAGCATCAGGTAAGGTTGACAGGGGCATCTCTGGCTTGGGAAAGTTCTAAAAGTTGGTCAAGTGTGGGATTCAACAACACCAACACACACAAACACCCAATTTCTCAGTAATGGGAGAGGGAGGGTGGATCAGATTACATCAACAAATGCATTTAAATCAGCACTAAAAGGATTATCATATACCTGATAATAAAGATAAGCTTTCCTCAGTTCTCACTGAAACATTAATTCCTGCAAGCTTGAGATGAACTGGGAAATAAATTTTGGAAAGCTAACACGCTTTCATGGAGATGCAGGATATTATTTTACTCCACAACTGAATTAAACTAGGGTAGGGACTGAAAATTCACTAGTAGTGGTAAGACAATTTAGTGAATTGAGGCCAGTCTTAAAAGATTTACAAGATGCTTTCAGAGTGTGTTTTACTTACTAAAGTATTGTTGTGTATGATTTAATCAATACATTTAGTGAACCCTTACTCCTACTAACTGGCAGGGGTTTTTTGTGTTCATTAAATAATTGTATTAAGACACAGACCTCATTTATTTAATACTCACGGCACTTACATGCTGAGCATTATACTAAGCATTTACTGAACAGCTATTGTGTGCCAGTCCTTGAACATGGAATATTTTTCTTAATCCTCATTTTCACTACTTTCAGATAAGAAAACAGTTTTGGAAAGGTTAAATTTCCACTGTCCTGAGATTACTGTGGGGAGCCAGACTGAACAGGACTGGAAGTTTAACAGTTCTTGCCCTAACTTACTGAATATTCTGTCTCCAGATAATTACAAAATTTTATGACAATCTACCAAATTTAAAATGTCTCTTTTGGCTGGGCACCATTGCTCACGCCTGTAATCCTCGGACTTGGGAGTCCGAGGCCGGAGGGCTGCTTGAGCCTAGGAGTTCGAGACCAGCCTCGGCAACATAGCGAGATCTCGTCTCAACAACAACAACAACAAAATCAAAATTAGCTGAGCGTGGTAGCACACGCCTGCCGTCCAAGTTACTTGGGAGGCTTAGGCAGAAGATTCGCCTGATCCCAAGAGGTCCAGGCTGCGGTGAACCGGGATCGTGCGAAACTCCATCTCAAAGGATACACATAAATTTAAAAAATGCATTTTATATTTTGCACCAGGGTACAGCATGTGGGAAAAGGTCTCCGATTCTGCTCCCCAAAGTCCAGGGCAGTCCTTCTCCCCGCCTCCCTGTACTTACGAAGGAGTCGCTCACCACCAGCACCACGTTCGGCGCCCGGGCCGCTCCTCGCCTCTGCCCACCTGACCCGGGGGGTGGTGCCGCCAGCGCCGAGGCTGCGAGCACCGACACCCACAGCGGCAGCATCGCAGGTAGCACTTCTGAAGTCAGCCAGCCGCTGGGCCAGCCTCTTCCCTCTAAAATTCTTTATAGGAGAGGAGGGCGGGGACAGCGAACTACTTGCCCAAGCTTGCAGTTTGGTTTCAGTACAGTAACGCAGAGCTTCACCCGCAGCACTACAATTCCCATGAGGCTCAGCGCGCGCGCGCGCGCGCGCACACACGCGCAAAGGCGCACTCTCGGCCTTAACCCATGCTAAGACTTTCTAATCAAATATCGAGCGGTTAAACCCAGTCACTTCCAGTCACGTGAGCGGGGGCTGGGAAAGGCGCATGCGCTTTCGCTCTAGCCTGGGGATTTATAGAAGAGCAGCGTCTGTCCCAGGTGGGTTCGGGTCTCTGTCGCTTTTGCAAAAGTTGGAGCTTGTGGGCGCTTGAAACGGTACTTGAGTGAAAGGATCCGGGGCTGGGCTGTTCGTTTTGGGCAGCGCTGGCGTGGCTGAGTGTTCAGCGACAGTGGGAACTGGGCGATGATGAGGTGGCGGTCCCTTAAGCTGGGCGGGGCGGTCCCTTGTGAGGCTCCTGGGTGGCCCGCCTGGGGTGCGCTGCGGTGACCTCGGAGCCCCTGCAGCACCTTCCCCTGGGAGATTTCTAGGCAGCCTCTTCATATTGCCTCCTTCACCCTGTGCGGTGAGGATTGACGGTGCTCCCGCGGGGTGAGGAGCGGGCCTAGTGAGCAGTTTCAGGTTCCAGGCGGGGAAAGGCTTGGGGGTTCCGTGTCTTCAGAGTGCAAGGGAGAGAAACAGAACGCGTTCTTGGAGGAAGAAAGGGACTGTGTGACGTGTACCATTAATTGACGTAGGTTCGGAATACCAATGTCTTGCTGCAGGATAATCAATCACTGGTCCATTTTGACTGTGGAGATTTCTGGAAGAAGCAGATTTATGTTCCAGAGCCAAATTACCATTTTATTATCATAGTTTCAAGGATATAATTTGCACATCACGGTAGTCGTCTTAATATTTTGACAGGAAAAAAGAGGAATTGTACTGATTATTTGACATAGAGCAACCCTTAATACTAATTACCTGGCAGGTTTTTTGCACGACATAATTGTAATAAGAGACAGACCTTATTTATTTAACACTCCCATGACATTTATGTACTGAGTATTCTATCAAGCATTTACTGAGCACCTATTGTGTGCCAGGCACTTTTACATGTAATATTTTTCATAATCCTTACTTTCACCATTTTGCTGATCGGAAAACAGGCTTGGGGGGATTAAATGACTGTCCCAAGCATACATGGGGAGGCCGTTTGAGTAGGGCTGAAAATTGAACAATCTGTATCCTAACTCACTAAATGTCTTGTCTCCAGAGAATTACAAAATTTCATAATAATCTACGGAGCTTAATCTATTAGTGAAGCAGAATTGTTAATCAGGCAGCTTGCTAAAGATCTGTGGGCGTATGCAAAAACATAAACAGTAGTCTGTCCACAAGGTGACACTCTAGGGAAGCAAAAACTAGCATATGTGAAATAGTACAGCACAGAAGGCAAGACAGGTAGGCTCCCTCATGAACAGGAAATTAGTTTTGAGTTAATTTGGAATGTTGAACATTTTATCCCCATAAACAATATTGACTGACATTTAGATTCATAAAAATTATATTTAACATTGTGGCATAGTACGGATTCTGTGAACTGCATTTACTCTGTCTGGCTTCATTTCTACAGGACATGTGTTCTGATGACAGGATGATCTTTCTTCTTCTTTCTCCCTTTGATAGCATCAGTTAGCAGGTACTGCAGTGGGTTGCAGATAATTCAGAGCCTCAGAGACATAGCGCTGGAAGAATCTAAGAGGCTTTTGTTCTGCCTTTCCATCTGACATTCGTTTGTCCTACTACATTCCTGCTAAGTGGTTGCCCAACCTCAATTCATTTACCTATTTTTATTACCTTTTTTTCTTTTTTTGGAGTTGGAGTCTCACTCCGTCGCCCAGGCTGGAGTGCAGTGGCACCCTCACGTCCACTCCAGCGTCCACCTGCTGTGCTTTGGCGCAATCCTTCCGCCTCAGACTTCCAAGTAGCCGGAACTACTGGCGCGTGCTACCGTTCCTGTCTAATTTTTTGATTTATTGTAGAGATGAGGTCTCACCAAGTTGCTCAGGCTGTTCTCCAACCTGTGGGCTCAGGCAGTCCCCTCACCCCAACCTCCCAAAATGCTGGGATTACAGGCTGGAGTCACCTCGCCTAGTCAGCCTGTGTTTTTTCAAGTGATGGGAAACATTTCTGTTGATCACCCCATTCTACATTTTTATAGGTCTTTTTATGAAAAGTTCTTATTTTAAACTAAAGTTAATCTACTTTTAATCATTGATTAGTTCACTTTTTTTTTTGAGTTGGAATCTCACTGTGTCACCTAGGCTGGAGTGCAGTGGCACACTTACAGCCACCCCAGCATCCATTCGCTGAGCTCCTGCCATTCTTCTGCCTTTGCCTTCCAAGTAGCTGGAACTACAGGCACGTGCTATCACACCCGGCTAATTTTTGACTTATTGTGGAGTCGAGGTCTTGCCAAGTTCCCCCGGCTGGTCTCCAACTTGTGGGCTCAGGCAATATACTTGCCTCGCCCTCCCAAAGTGCTGGGATTACCGGCTGAGCCACTGAGCCCGGACCATTAGTTCACTTTTACATGGATAATCTCTCCTGTTCTACTCTTTCTCCGCCAAATATTTTTTTCATAGTTTTCCCACTTTCTTCAGCTAGTAGTCATAAAATTTTAGGTTTTCTCATTGTTTTGATCACTCTTTTCTGAGCTTATATCTTTGCTAATCAGTAATTTACACTATCAGAAAAGGCACTTTTGTGTTGCATATGCATGCGTATATGTGTTGCAGTGAGGACTGGGATCTCTATTAGTCTGCAAGGGCTGCCTTCATAGTTCCGCAGACTGGATGGCTTACATTTTATTTTCTCATGATTCCGGAGGCTAGAACTCCAAGATCAGAGCTTGGCAGTCCTCTCCCCTTGGCTTGCTTTTGGCCGCTTTTTCCCTGTGACCTCACATGGTCTTTCCTCTGTGCCTGTGTATCCCTGGTGTATCTTTTTGTGTCCAAGTTTCATCTTTTAAGGACAACAGATTGGTTTAGGGCTCATCCGTATGATCTCATTTAACCTTTGTTACCTCTATAAACGTCCTGTTTTCAAATACTGTCACATTCTGAGGTCTTGGGGGTTAGAGTTTCAACATGTGAATTATTTGGGGACACAATTCAGCCCTTAATAGGATCCATTACATGCATGTATTTTAAGTTATCAGTTAAAGATTTGTAAGTTAGGGATTACTTTTTTAGTGAAATACTCTGCAGTTCAGAGAGATCTTTAACAGAAGAGTCTTGGTCTAGGTTTTGATTTTCTGTAATTCTTTTAATGTTCAAAATACTAGGAGCACTATATTCTGTCTTAGGAAAAGTGTGCATTCTGTGACTGTGTGGAATAAATTCAGTATTGTCTTCATATCTGCATTGTACCAGACACTGTAGGGAAGAAAAGAAAGAAGTAGAAATTATCCCAAAGAACACCCAGTCTAGTTTCAGAGACACATTACACAGACATAAACACATGTAAATTTAATAACAACAAAAGGTACCAAAAAGTACAGCTAGTTGGTAAATAAAACACAAAAACCACAGTATCCCAAATTGTGCTTCGGAGAATGGTGGTGTACTTCCTGATATTAATTGGTTTTAACTGACAAATGTTTCATGGTCTCAGAAGTTCAGAATTGTTGGGTTACATTATCTTTGGGTCTTTACTATAGAACTTCTCAGAGACTTTAAAAAAGTAATATATGTTGTGACTTGGAAAAGTGACATATATAATGTACAGTGTTCACAAACTTACTAGATCATTCATTAACACCTTTACACATGCTAATGTTTGTTGGCATACAATTTTTGGAAATGCTGGCATAGATAATACATGTTACAAATTCAGACTGGTGTGTGATTGGTTTGGGAAGACGATGTGCTTGACACTTGAATTTGGCCTTTAGTTATGTGTAGCATGTGAAGCGAGAGTAAACAGGCTAAATGGAAGAAGGAAAGATGTACAGGCAGAAAACTCAGGAAGGTAAATAAAAAAAAGTCATCAGAGCTAATATCAAAACATTATAATGCATGCCTTTCAGTGGTGTAAAAGAAAATGGAAATCTCAGAATCCCCAGACTCGTTATGCCAAGGGGAAAGTTAAGCTTGAGAATGAAGTTGTGCAACACTGTCATTCTTTTTGCCTAAGCTCTTAGCTCTAATTTCACAACCTTGAGTCACAACATTATATATAAGTGATGTTCCCACAACAATAAAAGGCCGTTGGCCTCTTCTGATGGCTTCCCTCACAAATTGCTCACCAGGAAATTCCTTGCTAGCCGCTATGTCTTTCAGGATCCATATCCACCTGTGAAACAAGCCATTGTAACATTGGGTCTTCAACCGAAATTTAACTCCTAAAACTGAGTTCTGTTGAATCTCACACTGACGATGACGATTACAAGCTTGTCTTCCCAGGTACAGAACCAGGACAAGAGGAGATCAAATACTCTTTTCGCTTGCCATAAAGTGACTGCATAATTGACTCTTGATTCTTTTTAACTGTTTATCTTTTGTAAAATGTAGATTGAGCACTAATTCTAGCCTCACAAGAATGTACTCACTTGCCTTACCGCCTGCACCCCTTTCCTGCTGCCATACTTCCCTTTCAAATACTGAGTTTCCCATGCCCTCTTTGGAAAGTGCAGGTCACAGATGTTTCTGTGACTTGTGTTTTCCCCCAGGCACTTCCTCAAACTTTGGCTCAATAAACCTCTACTAATTGAGACAGTTGCCTCAGTCACTTATTTTTTTTGGCTAACAGTGATAAGTTTTGGAAGCTGGAAGACAGTCATTTACTGAATATGTATGACTCAAATATTGAGTGTATAAAGCATTCTAGAGATATAAGACATGCATTTAGGGATTTATTGAATTGGGAGACAGGACATAGCTATATAGGATAATAAAAAAATTTGTTAAGTTCCAGTTGAGTAGCTTAGATAATAATTGGTTTGGAGGCGAGAGTGATCTGTGTTGCAGGTTTTACTCTATTATTCATGTAGTGGAGTAATTAATTTGAAGAGGTTTGATAATGGCTATCTTTTGGGA